AAAACTAATTTGTTTTTACGTCCTATTGTCCCTCTGCCCTCAGCATAGTCTTAACTCCCTTGTGTCCAGTCACCTCTTGGGACCTGCCCCTCAGTAACTGGTTACCAGTATGTACAGGAATCTGGACTTTTCCAGGGGTTCCATTGGTAGATTGTGGATCTTCAGATAAATTCTGCCATTTGCATTTCATTTCCTGAAAGTCAGGGTCGGCTTGTGAAAAGTAGTTAAACAACAAGCTAAATCTGAAACGTCAACTCTCACTCTAAACTTCCCTGTTTCGAGCATTGAATGAAGACTCCATTGGGTTTCATGGTGACTTTCTGACTTTTGGTAGACGCTGAAGAAGGGAGTTTGAAAGTCGTTTTAGACTGAGAACCATTGTCTGCCCATGTCCTGCCTGAAATATCATGATTGTTGATGAAAAGTATCTTTTATAAAGGTGGATACAGTTTGGCTTGGGGAAAAAAAGAATGTTATGTTCAACCAAGCTTAAGGGTCTAAGACTTTATCAATCTCAGCAAGAATTACAGTAACAAGCAAATGTCACTGATGATGACACCCACACAAAATGGTTCTACCAGGTTCAAATCCTGCTCTACTCTGCTGTGTGCAGCTTAACTGCTCTCTGCCTCAGTTTCCCCTTAGGTACATGGGATGAAAACAGCACCTACTTTAGTGTCAAGAGGATTAAATAAAATTGCATACTCTTTTCAACTATATAACAGGAAACTAGAGAAAGAACTAGAAAAAAGTTTTGTCCATTATTTCCTCACACAATTATAATAAAATAGGGCCAAGTTAAAAAGGAAAGGAAAATTTATTTTAATTTTAAAAACATTTTAAAACATGCATAATACAGTGTCCATTTCTCTACAGTAAATTATTTTCTCCACAGGAAAACAAAGAGATAAGCTTGTATTATACATGTTTTTCAAATAAACAAGTGAAATGTAGTCTGGGTGGGTGGTTCATGCCTGTAATCCCAGCACTGTGGGAGGCTGAGGTGGGAGGATCTCTTGAGACCAGCCTGATCAACACAGCACGATCCGTCTCTAAAAAAGTTAGCCCAGTGTGGTGGTGCATACCTGTAGTACTCAGCTACTTGAGAAGGTAAGAAGGGGAGATCTCTTAAACTCAGGAGTCCAAAATTGCAGTGAACTAGGATTGTGCTATTGCACTCCAGGTGGGCAACCAACTGGACAACTCCAGCCTGTCCACTTCAGGCTGAGACATGGTACAAGGGATCACCATGTCTCTCACTTCTGCAGTAGATCTGGTAGGACTCAGCCCACTGAGTATAAGGCTGCCCCTTGGACTTAGATTCCATTAATGGCGGTGTGCACAGCTAGGCCAGGCATTGCCAGTGTGTCATCTTCAGACTGGTGAGCTATTAGTTGCTGTCCTTACATCTGCCATCACTGGGGCTTCTGTCCTGAGGGAATACATACATTGCTTGTCACAAGCAGATTTAGACTGAAACAGGTGTCAACTTAGCCATTTAAACTTGAAAGCTAAAGCAAACATTCTGGAAAGTGGCTGTGTATCTGTCCTTGGTGTACCAACTGGTTTTGCATGAACAGGTTTGTGGCTGGATAGGCAAGCAAGTGACAACGGCATAATGGATGAATGATGCGGTCACATCTGTATGATCCTAAAGAACAGATGAGCTCTGGATCCTGGCACTTATCTAGACCCCAGTGATCATCAGACGGGGGCTCTGGATGCAGAACTTCAGCCGCCCCTCAGGCTATGCTGTACTTAGTTGTACATCAATCCTGAACTTGTCCCAACATCCTAGGATAAAGAGGGACAGAGGCAGGTTTCATGGAGTCCAGCTTCTACCTTGTTGTCCAGGGTGAGGAAGGAAAAATGAGAGGTGTTTCGGGAGACTCTATGACTTGCCAGGTGAATGGACCAGCAGCCAAGCCACTTTATCACCTGTCAGCCGGGGGTGGGGGGTGGGGGGTGTAATGTGAAGGACCCATGCTACTCTTTTGCAACAGAACATTTCAAGTTCCAAACTAAGAAAATAAGTATGATGGAGGGGGAGGAGATAAAAAGAAAACTAAAACATTTACGTAAGTTATGTTTAAAGCCTCATAATACAGTTTTCACCCTCTGAAGCAGAACGTTAGATAACGTAAGGATCCCTCCAATTGCCTACTTATAAAAACTATATTTATCGGGCGGTGCCTGTGGCTCAGTGGGTAGGGAGCCGGCCCCATATACCGAGGGTGGTGGGTTTGAATCTGGCCCTGGCCAAAATGCAACAAAAAAAATAGCTGGGTATTGTGGCCGGCGCCTGTAGTCCCAGCTACCTGGGAGGCTGAGGCAAGAGAATCGCCTAAGTCCAGGAGTTGGAGGTTGCTGTGTGCTATGATGCCATGGCACTCTACCAAGAGCGATAAAGTAAGACTGCCTCTAAAAAAAAAAAAAAAAACTATATTTATCCTTATCTGGGGGAAAACCCTAATACAAGTCGGAGTTGGTTGAAACAAAGATTCTTAAATATTGTCCTAAGCCTGATGCCACAAAATGAAGTGAGTCACTTACATCAATAATACCAATTGATTTAATAATATTAATTGATGAATGTCTTCTGCCTAGAATCCTTTAGCCAGTGAGTATTACGTGACACCAGGAGGAAAGGGAAATTGTTTTCCTAACTATAACCATTAGTAGTTACAACAAAGTTTTTTTCTGGTGCCTGAATACCTGGGTTCCTTCTTTTCTAGCTGTGGGGCCTCAAAAAGGTGCCACAATTTCATTATGCCTCAATTTCCTCATCTGAGAAAAGGAGCTACCAGCTAATGAGGCAGTTACTGTTTTTCTGATAGACTAATACACTAGGCTAACAGTTCTAGAGCACTTAGAGTAACAACTGGCATACAGCACAAGCACTTAATACATGCCAGCTATCTCTCATTTTCCTCACAGCACCCTTGTGAGGAAAATGAAACCCTGTAATGAGGTGAACATTGTCTTCTATTTAGAGAGGAGGGGATTTTGCAAAGATAGGTAATTCCCTAGCTCAGAGTCACAGAAAGTGAGAGAGAGGGGGGCACCTGTAGTTCAGTGGGTAGGGCACCAGCCACATACACCATGGCTGGCAGGTTTGAATCCGGCCCGGACCACCTAAAACAACAATGACAAATGCAACAAAAAAAATAGCCGGGTGTTGTGTGGTGGATGCCTGTAGTCCCAGCTACTTGGGAGGCTGAGGCAAGAGAATATCTTAAGCCCAAGAGTTTGAGGTTGCTGTGAGCTGTAATGCCACCGCGCTCTACCAAGGACGACATAATGAGACTCTGTCTCACGAAACAAACAAACAACAAAAAAAATATCCCACGAAAATGAAAGAGATAAAAGCTATTCTTTTTCCACTATGCACTGCTGGTGATGTTATTCATGCTGATACCTGCTAAGGCCCACCACAATATACAGAAGTCACATACCCCTTAACGAGTGAGACTTCCTCAAGGAAGTAAGATTGTGCTAAAAGGAAATCAGATTGTGCTAATCTTGACATCTCGACTAAAAAAAAAAAAAAAAAACAAAAAAAAAAAATAGTATTGTCTTCCTAGGCACACAATGCCAAAGAACACTCTGCCAAGCCTTAAAAAACGAGCCATCTTCTGGTGGGTACACCCAGACCCTTTTAAAAGCAAGCCATAAGGGAACTCACCAAGGCGAAAGAAAAAGAGGGGGGACAGAAGGGTAAAAAGACCCACTATAGAACTCCAAAACAAAAAAATGTACACGTTTTTGCCCCAGAGGCCTCTGCCAAGACTTATTAAACTGAGGCCAACAACGCAGAATCTTAATGAATGAGCTGGCCTACCTCCAATACACACACGTCTCTGACACACATAGGCTTAAGGCCTGCAGGGCCCTTATAAACCTCTGGGAGACACCTGACCGATCCCAGGTCAATCTTAATTGGAAACAAGCCGTCAACCAGCAGATACAATGGACTTGGTCTTTCTTTTTATTCTAAGGATCGAATTTTTAGGGTCTGTGTTTAAGACATCAACAAGACATCAACCAGAGAGGTCAGGAATCCTGATTTCCAGGCCCAGGATGGGCCAGGAATGCCCCTCCGGGGCGGGTTCCCCAAATCGCCGGGCCCGAGTCCTCCTTCGCCCACCCTTCCCTTCCCCCTGGGCATCTGCGGGAGAAAGGCGGCAGGAACGGGGCTGCCCTAGGCCACCTGCCATCTCCCCCCTCCACCCTTTCAACAGTTGCTCCAGACTTCGGAGACGCCGCCCTGGCCCGGGGAGCATGTTGTCGGCTCTTTACCCACAGCCCTCCCCAAAGGCGGCTGCGGTAGGAGGGCGCGCGGAGGCGTGGGTGAGAGCGGCGGGAACCTGCCCGATAAGACCCCCTTGCGGAGCCGGTTCCCACGGAGTACACGACGCAGCCAGAGGCCCCGGGACCCGTCGCCCGGCAGCCCCGCCGTCCCCTTGGCCCTGGACGCCCTGGAGGATCGCTGCCGCCCACTCACCGCTGCACTCGGCAGAGTACTGGTCCCCCCAGTCCCGGGACTGAGGGCTGCAGCCGCCGCCGCCCGCCGGGGCCTCCTGCTGCTGCCGGTGCTGCAGCTCCTGCTTGAGCAGGGATAGTGGCGAGTAGTGCTCGGTGGCCAAGGCGCCCGGGCATAGCCCGGCGGACAGGACCCCCAGCAGCGGCAGCAGCAGCAGCAGCAGGAGGACGCGCCGGGCGCCGCCCGCGGCAGCCACAGCGCCGCCCCAGCTGCAGCAGCACCAGCAGCCTGCAGGTGCCATCTTCCCTCAAGGCGCATGTGCGGGAACCCTCACTTGGTTTTCAGGCCGCCCCTCCTCTAACCCACGAGGGGCAGGTGGGTCGTGGCAAGGGGGCGGGGCCAGGAAAACGTTGCCTGCTGGGAATTGTAGTCCCATCTCGTTCAGCCTCGGGCCTCGCTTCTGAATCTGGAACTACGAATCCCAATAAGCGTCCCGCGGCCCAGGTCTTCCGGTTTGGCGTGTGTCGTCTCCCCTCCGCCGGCTACTGAATCGGAAGTTCGGGGCGGTAGTTGAGTGAGATGGGGAACGGCGGGCGGAGCGTGCTGCGGCCGGGGAAGGGGGATGCAAATGGTGTGGCAGAGACTCCTGGTGCTGCCTCAGCCTCCTGCCAGTACCGGTGCATCGAATGCAACCAGGAGGCCAAAGAGTTGTACCGAGATTATAACCACGGTGTGCTGAAAATAACTATCTGCGTGAGTTACCAGGTGTGGGGTGTCCTTGGAAGGAAAATGGCGGGGCGCGATTGGGAGGCCATGAGAGGCACGGTTGCCTAATAGATCGGGGTCTTTGCATGAGTGCCTCTCCTGATAGAGAACTCACTTCCCTACAGCGCTTTTCTCATACTGGGGCTGTTTGGCTGCTCACACCTAACAAGGCGAAAGGAGCGTCAGGTGGGTATGGATGTATGTAGGCTTTGTGCCGAGAAATTTGAAGATCGGATTCCTCGACATTTGGGTTCACGTCAAAGCTACTTCATGTGGAAATCTACTTCACAATCACGTTGAATTATCTTGGAATGCTTTTTTTTTTCAGGTCCCGTCTATTGCAGTTACTGAATGTCTACTGTGTATAAAGCACTATGTTAGACATTGATGATGTAAAAACCAAAAGTGAGGAAGTAAAAATTATGCTTTCAAGGAGCTGATAATTTATTTATAGAGGATAACCTTATTTATACATAAGAGCCTACAAAATTGAAAGTTCTTTGAGGGAATTAGCGAAGAACCTGTCACATAGTAAACAGTACATTTTTGCCTCATTTCTGATGTGATGATTTTTTAATATTCTTCATTAGTAAAACCTGGTCTGTAGGAATGCACAATGCATACATCCTCAATTTCCTATTCCTCAAGTGCCTTCCCTTGGCCAAGTGTCAACCCTTGTTTAATCCATCACGTTGCTTGGTCTGTCCCTAACCTGTGCAGCTGTATGCTGCTGGTGGGACACACCTCTAATTCATGACCATTAACTTCATGTAGGTCCTTCATGCCATCTGGCAATCCAGAGTGTTTCCTTAGGCCACTCACATTCCCACTTTTCTGAACAGTGCTCACACAATCTCCTCTCTCTTCACGTGTCCCATAACGTCCCCTGTTTCTCTATGAAGAGAACTTCCACAAGCTTTGCAACCACAAAACCTCAGTATAAACATTTGTTATTTATATACTGTACTGTGTCACCCCTCCTGTTCTTTCAGGTGGACTGCTTGGATACCTGTGTAAGGCCAGTGCCTCCACTTGTACATTAGATCCCATCTTCTCTCATTCACCTAAGACCATCTGTGTAGCAGCACTTGTCTGGTCCGCTGGATCATTCCACTGTCATGCATGCTATTATATCTTCCAACAAAAAACCCACCAACAGCAACAACAAAACACTCTTGGCCCTACTTCCCTGTTTAGCTTCTGATCTTTTATTTCTCTCCTAGACAAGAAAACTGAGGTGTTTGTGCTGCTTGTCTTTATTTCCTCTCCTAGTTTCCCTAAGTCTACTTCAGTCAGACTTTCTTCCCACCAACCATTTCATTAGACGTGTTCTTGTTAAGGCCGTTACTGACCTCCACTTGCTAAATCCAGTAGTTGATTCTCAGTTAAATGAGAATCAGTAGTGTTTGGCCCTGTTACTTCCTCCTCCTTGGAACACGATGCACTTGGCAGGACACAGTGCTCTGCTTACTGTCTGCTCATTGACTGGCTGTTTTCTCTAAATCTCCTTTCTGGTTTTGCCTCACTTCTCTTGCCTTTTACCCGTGGCGTGTTCTGTGCCTCAGTTGCTAGGCCTCTTTCTATCTGCACGAGCTCCCCTAAAAAACTCACTCTGTCCCAAGGCTTTAAGTACCATCCATTAATTCCTGAATTTACATCTCCATCCCTAACATGTCCTCTGAACTCTAGACTTCAATATCCAGTTATCTACATGACTTCTTCACTTGGTTTTCCATCACAATTCATGGCAACTCTACCATTTTATTTGACTTCCTAAGACCAAAAAACCTTGCAGGCATTTTTGCTTTCTCCCTTTCTCTCACGTCCCATATTCAGTTGCTCAGCAAATCCTGTTAGCTCTCTGTCTTCAGACTGTGTTCAGAATCTGCTACTTCTGCTACTGTAGCCCTGGTCTAAGCTGTTGCCAGTCTCCTAGACTACTGCTGCAACTCTTAACCTGGTCCCGTGTCATCCTCATACCTCTTCAGTCTCTTCCATACAGCCGCCCCAAACTGATCTTTAAAATGTAAGTTAGATCATGTCATTGCTTTGGTCAGAACCTTCCAGTGATTTTTCTTTCTTACTCAGAGGTAAGGCCAGAATTCTTGCACTGGCTTAGAAGGTCCTGTGTAGTCTACTGCTGCTCTATTCCTCCCGTATCCATCGCAGTCCCGCTGGCCTGATGTTTCTCAAACTAGGCAAATTCCTTCCTCAGGATCTTTGCATTCCGCCTGGAGCACTTTCTCTTCTCCACCGGGTAATCTCCTTCAAGTACTTTTTCAAGCATCTCAGAGCATCTACCTTGATCACCCTGTTAAAAATTAGGGCACACTTCGCAGTTCTATCTTTCTCCATATCTTGTAATATTCTGCATGATTGACTTATTATTTCCCATCTCCTCCCGCTGGAATGTAAGCTACACAGAGATTTTGTCTGTCTTATTCATTAATGTAGCTAGATGACCAAGAACAGTGCATGACGCAGAGTAGGTACTCAGTAAATATTTGCTGAGTGGCTGGACCATTTTCAGGTGTTTGGATTAGCATATTTTTGGCCATCCTGGGCAGAGGGAAAGAGCCGTTTCTTATCTATGATCTAAACTTAATGACTTTTGGACTGCTCCAGTAAAATGATCCATCTGGAAAATGATAACCCTGTAACTGGAAATATGGTCTTTGTTGAAAGAAAAACCAGTATTTGTATATGCATTTTAGTTAGTAATCTTTAATAATATGAAAGTCGTTTTATTTACATTAAGCTAATAAAATCCCTTTCCTAATCATCAGAAGCATCCTTCATTATACTTGCATTTGTGGAAAGACAAAATAATTATTGGATAGCTGTTTAGGTCAGTAGCTACCTCTCCCCACCTGCCTCCCCCTTTCTCCCTAACATTCTCCCTAACATTGTATTCTCTTTCCCAGGAGACACATTTTAGAGTTACATTTAGGATACTGATTGGTGGCCTGGTACATTATGGAGTCTTTACACAGTCATTCCATGATGAGATAGACCGTGTAATGGCCTTATTTTTATCATGCTAATGCATAGTAAACTTTAGGTCATAATAGCATTTCTCAGGAAAAATCATTTAGTTGATGCCAGACTCTGAAATACTAAGCCGTGAAGTGATTAATTTTTAAAGGCTTTCAGTAGTTTTTACACATGCCATTTGTTGTGATAGAATGTCCAAGGTTTCTAGTGGTTACCGTGGGTAAATGATACATACTTTGGTCTCTTCCCAGCCGTTTGGAGTCAGGAAGATACTCAGCCTGTTCTCCCACCTCCCTGTATCTCTTGTCCTGATCTCCTTTCTCTTTGCACTGCTTGTCTTCCTGCTGCTGTTTCTCTCAGCTCACCTTTCTTGTTCTTTGACTCCATCTAATATAGCATCGTCCCTTGCTTTCAGCCAGTCCCTCTTCAGTTTATTATCATTATGCTTAAAGACACAGTACTTTTAATATCTTCGAGTGCCTGGCTTATTTTACGTGCTCCAACGTCTAGTAAATTCATTATTGTGGTAGCAAAGTAGAACTAGACAAGACTACCGTAAGGTTCTCCTACGTTTCCGTTCTGGTTAGCACTGCAGCCCTCGGCTCCCACGCTTGGAATGCTGGATGCAAAGATGAATGAACCACAGTCCTTCCCTTGAGAAGCTTAAAGTTCTGAGGGTCTCCTGTTAAGATATATGTTTGCTTATTATAGAGCTAAAATTAAACAGATTTGAGAATAAATGAGGGGAATGGTTTGGCCAATTTATATTCTAAAAGAGCTGTGCCTGATGAGGCAGTTAGAGAACACAGCAGGACGGTGTGAGTGATAGCCATCTTAAGACGGAAGTGGTAAAAGCGTTATTTGAATGCCCAGAGTATGCATGGTCCCTGTGCTGGAGGGATTTCTTAGAGGAAAACATTATCTTTTCTGGGTACTTGGCTATTAAGTAGTAAATTATATGGAATGGAAGAATTTTGCCAAAATAAGAGAATATGTTTACTGAATTTAGAAAATAGAACTCCCAATAAGATGTTGTATGACATTTGTTTGGATTTTTGTGTGTGTAGTTTTCCTCCGTCCATTCAAGGTGAAGGCATGAGGAGAGAAAGTTGAGACCAGCATGTAAGGGAAAAGCAAATAATAAAGGGAGAACAGGGAAAACCAGGTCTGAGCTGACCCGGGAGAAGCAGCAGGAATGCCAGGAAGGGAAGATGGGAAAAGCCTGAAACATGTGCATGTCACATGGCTCCAGAAGCTGCCTCTTGGGCCCCGTGTCACCCTGTGCTCATTTCCTGGTAGCACTGGGAATGCCACACAATCTGAGGGCTGTGGCCGCCAGACTTTATCATGCTGACTTGTTTTATCTCTCCCCTTTCTAAACTGTTACTGAGCTTAGAGACTTTCGGCTAAGAGTGAACATACAGCACCTTGGAAGTGCCTGATCCATGAAATGGCCAAGCAAAGAGAGCTGTTGTTGTAAATGTGGTAGCGACTGTGAAAATAATTGTCAAATGAACAAAAGTGAACGGAGTAACAGCTGGTGTGTCTCCGGTGCTGGTACCTGCACTTGCTGAAAATTGTCCAAATCCACAGCCTTACACTTATGAGTCTAAGGACCCTTGATCTCTTAGAAGTTTCATTTTAAAATAAAATACTATCTCATGTCTTCCAATCTATAAAAGGAGGGTCCACATGAGTAGCACAGGGAAGAAATATGTAAAATAGCTCTTTGTCATGAATATGGGATTTCTGATTCTGAGACTTTGGTTTAGATGCTGGCTTACTCTCTGCTCAGGTGAAATACAGTAATTCCTTATTCCTCAGTTTGCTTGAGTGGATTTAAACTTACAACAATACATATGCCTTCATGGGTTCATTTAACAATCGGAAAAACATACCTGTTTCTTATAATGACATGAATGACGTGGAGAAACTAAATGAAGTTGGAAATAAACACAATTTTTTATTACATTGGAAGTGCAGAGTTAATATTCTTCATTGCATTTCATTTTTCTTATAGCGCGTAGAGGTCACTACAAAAGTTTTGAGACTGGTTTTGGTCCATTATTTCACTTCCAGGAAACACAGTTCACAGTATCCTTTTCGATTCGCCTGTGCAGGTTTCAACTTGGGCTTCTCAGTGTTGCTGGGAGGGCTCACTTGTTTCCATCCACAGGGATTTTACATTTCTTGGTTTTTGGTTATCTCAAAACTTTTGTAATGACCTATGTATATACTGCATACACACACATACAGGTTGCCCAAAAATGTATATACATTTTAAGAAAGGAAAAAACTGTATTAAAATTATAATACATATGTACTGGTAACATTTGTTATCTTATATCTCCTATAATTGCAAAAGTCAGCTGTGACTTAAATATCATAATTTTTTACACTGTTTTTCTTTCTTAAAATGTGTATACATGTTTTAGCACCCAGTGTGCGTGTGTGTGTATGTGTGTATTTGGGGGTTTTTTGTAGGGGGTTGACAGATAGGGTGCTGCAGTGTCATAGCTCACACCACCCTCAAACTCCTGAGCTCAAGTGATTCTCCTGCCTCAGCCTCCTGAGTAGCTGGGAGTACAGGTGGACACCACAGTGCTCAGCTTGCTTTTCTATTTTTAGTAGAGGCAGGGTCTCATTCTTGCCCAGGTTGGTCTCAGACTCCTGAGCTCAAGCGATCCTCCTGCCTTGGCCTCCCAGAATGCTAGGATTATAGGTGTGAGCCACCACACCTGGTCCCTCTAGTATATTTGTATACCCATCTCTTCTTCTGTTTTATCCCCATAGAGTTTCACAATGTTTTGGTGTTTGAATTAATGGCCATCCCTGTGGTCCCCTTATCTGAAGGGTATGTGTTGAGATACTGCAGCATTCAGTCTGATAACCGAGATGGCTACTAAGTGACTAACAGGTGGGGATCATCTATAGCTTGGATATGCTGGACAAAGAATGATTCATGTCCCAGGCAGCAGAGCAGGATGGCATGCAATTTAGAACTCATGAACAGTTTATTTCTGGAATTTTCCCTTTAATATTCCTGACCACTGTTGACCGTGCAGATCTACAAAAAGTGAGACTGCAGATAAAGAGAGACCCCGTAGTTTTATAAAGTAAATTGTAGCATTGATGCAACCTCTGTAACTCATACTGCTTCAAATTTCACGTTTCTAATGAGCTTGTTTTGGGTGTGGTGGGGGCAGGTTGCTTGTTTTTTAAATGGAGTCTGTCTCTGTCACCTGGTTTAAAGTGCAGGATCATGATGATAGCTCACAGCAACCTCAAACTCCTGAGCTCCAGTAATCCTCCTGCCTCAGCCTCCTGAGTAGCTGAGACTACAGGTGTGTGCCACTGCACTGCCTAATTTTTCTATTTTTCACAGAGACAGACTCTCAAACTAATGGCCTCACATAATCCTCCTACTTTGGCCTCTCAGAGTGTGAGGTTATAGGCATGAGGGCCCGTGAGCTTGTTTTCATATACTTAGATTTTACATGTTCTACTGCTGCTGGGATCTGATAACATTGTAATCACATGTGTCTAAAGAAACTGAACTCTAAATTGATAACCCTTCAGGGGAAACAGATTCATTTACCAGGAACTGCTGAGAGCCAGGGGGACCTGGATTGGAATCTAGAGCCAGGCTGCATAGGCCAGTTCCTTACACGTGGGCCAGCACTCTCCACTGTCCCTTCTGTAGCAGAGAAGGCAATTTTCTTTCCGTATTCTTGATGCTAATGTTGAAGAAAGCAGGCTGCCCCTGGTATCTGCCACCTCAGTATCAGTGGCCCTGTGCCGCATTCTTTACAAACTTGTAACCATCTAGCCAATAGGCAACAATTTATCAATGAAAGTACGTTATAAATTTATTTTATACCAATTCCTACAAATGAAAAGTAGGATTGAAAATAGAATCCCTATGGCTCAAAGGAGTAAGACGCTGGCCCCATATGCCAGAGGTGGTGGGTTCAAGCCCAGCCCCAGCCAAAAAAAAAAAAAAAACTGCAAAAAGAAAATAGAATCCCAACAGATTGAAGGTCGAATCTTCTGGGATACTTTCCTACCTAAACTCAGTCTTTAAGTCACATATCTTTTTAGCTTCTTAAGCAAAGGGTTAAAATATTAATATTTGTAGCCCAGAAGATTTAGGCATGTTTAAAACCACTTCCTATGTAAATAATACATTTTCTGTCTGAATGCAAGTTCATTTAAATAAATGCTGGTATGGCCTAACACGGCCTGTCCAGATAAACTGTGCTATTTGGAAATCCTTTAGGATTTCAGAATGTATGACTTTGCTTGTTCTAATATTATCTTGTATTATTTCAGAAATCCTGCCAGAAACCTGTAGACAAATATATTGAGTATGATCCTGTTATCATCTTGATTAATGCTATTTTATGCAAAGCCCAGGCCTACCGACATATTCTTTTTAATACTAAAATAAATGTAAGTTGTGATAATGTTTTTTATTTTACTTGGTGATACTATTGCATTTTAAAAGAAGAATTCTGCATCATTCCAGAAGAATAATAAGAATTAAAGAATATTATGCAAAGGAAAAAGAAATACTAGCTTAAGGGTGGGTCTTATATTTCAGCATTTCTAGAAGTTTCTAGAAATAACAGATGTTGGTTTGAAAAGGTATGCAATACTTAATGAATGTTTAAGAATGTGATCACTGGCAGGAAACTGACAAACCTTCATCTGGATTGCCTTTTGTTAGGTAGAAGCACATATTATTGATTTTTTTTTTTTTTTTTGAGACAGAGTCTCACTGTGTCACCCTGGGTAGAGTGCAGTGGCATCACAGCTCACAGAAACCTCAAACTCTTGGGCTTACATGATTCTCTTGCCTTAGCCTCATGTCCCAAGTAGCTGAGACTACAGGCACCAGCCACAACACCTAGCTGGTTTTTTTTTTTTAGTTGTAGTTGTTATTGCTGTTTGGCAGTTTCCAGCAGGATTCAAACCCGCCAGCTTTGGTGTATGTCGCTGGCACCCTAGCCACTGAGCTACAGGTGCCAAGCCACATAATCACTGATTTTAAACAAAATAAAATTTAACATATCCAGATAAGGAGAGAATTGTTCCTAAAAGAAGCAAACATTAAAAGAAAAATATTAAAAAACATAATTTAGGGTGGCACCTGTGGCTCAAGGAGTTGGGCACCGGCCCCATATACCGGAGGTGGCAGGTTCAAACTCAGCCCTGGCCAAAAACTGCAAAATAAAAATAATAATAATAACATAATTGATTGCCTTTTTTAGACTGTGATTAAAGGAATGTCTGAGGTAAATAACAACATTGAGTTTAATCAGAAAAGTCATGATTTATAAAGTTTGATTTTTCAAAATATACTTTTAGTTTATCAAATTGAGAAATCTAATAGTAGAAACGACAGATAATATACAGGATACCCAGTTAAATTTGAGTTTCAGATACACAACAAACACATTTTGTGGTGTATTTGCATCCTAAACATTGCACAGAACATACGTACAAAAAAAAAATTTATTTGTTGTGCATCTGAGATTCAAATCCTTTGTTTTTGTTTGCTAAATCTGGCAATCCTGAATTTGGGCTGACTTAGATAGTTGTGTTGCAGTGTCTTTATTCCTGCCCCACCTCCTAAGTTACCTAGGTACTATCTAAATTTTCAGAGCATTGATTCTCAAACTTTGCTGCATATTAGAATCAGCTGGCTGGTGGGGACAGCTTTAAATCCGCCAAACTGAAGCCTTCCTAGAACTAGGGGGCTATTGCAGAATGCAGCCAGGGGAATTAGTGTGTCAGCCGGAGGAGCTCAGGAGCCTGAATGATGCCTGCCCCTGGACCACACTGGCTTTGCAGGCGTGCTTTGTTCCCCCACTTTGTACTGATGGACCACACTCAGTCTGTGGAGAAATACGAAGGGAAAAAGCCAACAAATTCTTGTTGCCTACTATTTTCTTCCTTTTTTTTTTTTTTTTTTTGTTGAGACAGAGTTGCCCCGGGTAGAGAGCTGTGGCATCATAGCTCACAACAACCTCAAACTTTTTGGCTTGAGCAATCCTCTGAGAAGAAGGGACTATAGGAGGATGCCACAACTCCCAGCTGGTTTTTCTATTTTTAATGGAATACTTAATGAATGTTGAAGAATGTGATCACTGGCAGTGATCACTCTTGCCCAGGCTAGTCTCAAACTCCTGAGCTCAAGGGATCCACCCACCTCAGCCTCCCAGAGTTGCAGGGATTACAGGCATGAGCCACCATGCCTGGCCTGGTGTTTTCTATTTTAGCCAAAATCCCACTCTTAAGAACTTCCAGCTTTTAATTGTTCTCTTTTAGTATATTGAGTACTACTCATCCACCTGAGGCATTTTTAAAGAAAATTTATCTTTAGACTAATAGTTTCTTATGCAGTATCGTGAAATACTCAGGTTGAATTTGTTCTCTTACTGCTGTTTCCACACATACAGGAGTCACATAAATTCTTTGCTTTATTGTGAGTATAGGACAGACGGATGTTGAAAATACTTACTGAAAGGTAGACTACTGTTTAAAACAGTCAGGGGTGCACACTAGAGTCTGTAGTTGTTTCAAAATGTGGATGTCTTTACAACCAAAGATTTTGAACGGGGAGCGGAGCCTAGACATTTATATTATGAAAAATCTCCCCCATATGATTCTGATGTACACTACTGATTGAGAACCACTGCAATTAGCTGCTTTATTAGGTAGGAAGTTCTAAATTTGAAAAACAATTAGATGGGATGGTCTTCAAAGCCGTGAATACTTCGCTACCTTTGTGCCTGTGATGTTAAATGCAACCGAGTATTTCTTTACCTAATTCAATGGCAATGTCTTTGACTATTAGATCCATGGAAAACTCTGCATGTTTTGTTTGCTTTGCGAAGCATATCTGCGGTGGTGGCAGCTTCAAGATTCCAGCCAGAACCCTGCCCCTGACGACTTGATCAGATATGCTAAGGAGTGGGATTTCTATAGAATGTTTGCCATCGCCTCTTTAGGTAAGGAGACACCAATTTTCCATTCTTACTTAACTAGTATTTAACTATTCCGATTAAAATAAAGACATGTGGCCTTAATCATTGGTAAGAGAAGGTAGTTAACACACAACTTGAGACTGTATTTTCAGCTGTACCACTAACCTGCGAGGTAGTCTGTCAAAATTGCATGCTTGCTTTTTTATTTGTTGCAACATGTATGTTTTGAAATTTTCATAAAATATTTGAAGCATAATATTATTGATAAAATTCTTAATGTTTAAGTTCTGATTGTCCAGTCTGAAGATTATGTAGGCCCCATCTTTATTAAAACAGATTGATAATTGCCAGGTAGATCAGGCGCAGTGGCTCACGCCTATAATCCTAGCACTCTGGGAGGCCTAGGCTAGTGGATTGCCTGAGCTCAGGAGTTTGAGACCAGCCTGAGCAAGGGTGAGACCCCTGTCTCTACTGAAAAAAAGAAAAAAAGTAGCAAGGGGCAGTGCCTGTGGCTCAGTAAGTAGGTTGCCGGCCCCATATGCCAGGGGTGGCTGGTTTGAACCCGGCCGCGGCCAAAACTGCAACAATGACCAAAATGAAAACTAGCAGGGCATTGTGTTGGGCACCTGCCTTCACCCACAGCCTTCTAGGGGTCAGGGGCAGGTCACCCCATTCTTTCAGTTGCCTAGAGCCTTGGAATCACCCCTGATGCCTCTTTCTTTGATACCCAGTAGTCAGATCATCAGGAAATCCCATTGGCTCCACCTTCAGAGTATTTCTGCTGCTGCACTACTTCTGTCTACTCCCTCTGTGCTCCCACCCTGCTGCAGGCCGTCTTCATCTCACCCGTATCAACACCGTAGCCTCCTTGTTCTGTAGCCCAGTTCTCTAGCAGTGTGCTCACAACACAGTGGTCCTTTCAAACAAGTCCGATCTTGTCACTCACCTCCCCTATCTGTGCTGGCCTGGCTTCTCTGGTTGGTTTGCTTCAAGCACAGTGGGTGAACTTCCACCTTTGGACCTTTTGGCTGGCTGTTCTTTCTGCCTGGGCCACTCGTCCCCTCAGTGCCCACGTCTGACTCCCTCACATCCCTCATGTTTTGTGGAGATGTCACCTTCTCAATGAAGCATACCCTGACCAAGGCTGTCACCTCCCTTTTTTTTTTTTTTGTAAAGACAGAGTCTCACTTTGTCGCCCTTGGTAGAGTGCCGTGGTATCACACAGCTCACAGCAACCTCCAGCCCTTGGGCTTAGGCGATTCTCTTGCCTCAGCCTCCCCAGTAGCTGGGACTACAGGCGCCCGCCACAACGCCTAGCATTTTTTTATTGCAGTTTGGCTGGGACCAAGTTTGAACCCGCCACCCTTCTGATAGTCCTGACCTCCCAGTCCTGCTCTACTGTGTCTTTCTCATGGTACTTACATTGTAACATTTCATAGACCTTATTTACTGTCTTTTCATTCTCGTCTGCCCTCCCCACTGACATACAAACTGTACAAGGACAGGGCTCTGTGTTTCTATCACGGATGTAGCTCAGACACGCAGATGCCTGGCTTACAGCAGGTGCTCTGTAAACATTTCTGAAGATAAACTATGGCATGTCTATATCTTTTTACGTCATATAAGGAAAAAAAGCTTATTTTCAAACAGTGTAGAATTCCTATAGCAATTACTCTAATGGATATTTTGACAATCAGAAATTTCTTTTTATTGTTACTTAACATTCTTATATATCTTAATCCTAAAAGAGTTTATTAAGAACATCTTACATAAATATAGCATTCTGTGATATAAAAACTTTTTATGGGTATTTAATTTAATTTTCACAACCACCCTCTGAGGTAAGTAGGTTAGAGTTCTTCCCCGCCACTGCAGAAACATAGATATAGTAATGGTGAATGATTTCCCCGAACCCCCACCCCCACCCAGGCAGGTCAGTGTTGGCGTTGAGACTGAGAAAGGACTCCTGGCCCCCCCATGCGTCATTTTCTGCACTGCACATCCTATACCAGGCAGCAGCCCCTACAGCCCCCCAGTCAGCATGAACCTGAAGGCTGAAGCCATTCCAGAAATCTCATAAATCCTAAATTCCAAGAATGTGGAGGTTATCTAGTCCAACCTCTCTGGTGTAAGAAAGCCTTCTCTCTAGATTCCTGAGGTGGTCTAGCTTTGTTAGAGTGTCTCCATTGGCAGGGGACAACCTGTTATTGTTCGATGATTATTATTGCTCAAGAGTTATTCACCATATATTTATTTAGGGAGTTCTTTATTATGTTTTTGATCCAAAATCCAAATCTGATGATCTGCCTGTCTGAGCGGATCCTTGCAGTCTACAAGCCTGTGGCTCAGTGGGTAGGGCACCAGCCCTATATACCGAAGGTGGCAAGTTTGAACCCGGCCCCGGCCAAACTGCAACAAAAAAATAGCCGGGCGTGTGGCAGGCACCTGTAACCCCAGCCACTCGGGAGGCTGAGGCAAGAGAATTGCCTAATCCCAGGAGTTGGAGATTGCTGTGAGCTATGATACTACGACACTCTACTGAGGGCGATAAAGTTAGACTCTGTCTCAGAAAAAAAAAATGAAGGGAGATAGCATGTCTCCCGTGAAGAATATATCAAATTACATGTGAGTTACTCATCCTAAATTATTTTTATTGATTGTAATCACCTACATATGGAACCTCTTTAGCTACACAGGTGACCCTTGAACAACAAGGAGGGGCACCAACCCTCTAGCTGAAAATCCCTGTAATTTTGACTCTCAAAATCTTACCTATTAGCGGCCTGCTGTGGACTAAAAGAAAGCCTTACTGATAAAATAAGCACTCACTAAACCCATATTTTATATGTTATCTGCATTATAGTCTGTATTCTTACAATAAAGTAATCCAGAGAAAAGGAGATATTAAGAAAATCACGGCTCG